ATTAGGATGTGGCTTTGTCGATTTGAATTCGAGAAAAGAAATGAAATGCGATTTAATTCGATTAAAAATCCATGCTTTGCACTTTTCTAGTAAATCTCTCATTATCTATGTGTTAAAATTCAATCTGCTAACAACTATATTGCCAGTTAAAAATTATATCTCAATTATTCGATTTGATTTAATTCAATTCACGTGGCTTAGGATGTGGCTTTGTCGAGTCGGATTCGAGAAAAGAAATTAATTGCGATTTGGTTCTATAAGACATCCTTGCTCTACGCTTCTCTAATAAATAAAAAACCCGAGGACACACGAGTCATATACGTCATACGAGAATGACCTTTGCGTGAAGAGAGATAATTAGGTTTCGCAACGTTTGGGAAACTTCGTAGGCGCGCGTGTAATATTTCCCGTACAAATAATGGATATTTAATGTTAAACTGTACAACTGACTGTTTGCGTCATTATTAAAGCGATTATTTTGGAAACTTCTTGTCTCTCATGTGCGCGCGCGAGCGCTTAATACTTGCCGCACAAATAATGGATATTTAATGTTAAACGGTGCAATTTATTGCTTCACTCGCGTCACAATTAAAGCGAGATGAAATAATGAAAGCAGCGCGTATCTCTCGCGAAATTTGTCAAAATTTGTAATATTTAATCTGCGTATCCCCGGTATTTACGAAAACATCGCGGATTTTCGTACGATTACGTTACAGCACACAGAGAAACAATTTACATTTAACATTTATCACAAGTGTAAAACTGTACAAAAAGTATAATAAAACTATAAGCTATACTGTGAAAGAAAAACAGACAATAAGACAAATTTTGCTGAAATTGCGGGGATATGCGAATAACATATATACAATAAAATAAACGACACGCGAGTGCGAGTCACGGGATGTAATATGAGCGTTAAAACTTCAGTCCGGCGGAAAATCCGCGGACCCGGGGGCTGCGCTTTCTTTGCCGTCGACTCGCTCGGGGCGATTAGCCCGCGCCGCGTAGCTGCAAATTCAATACTCCCTCCCGCTCGCGGCCATAATTATCCGATACGCAGAACGCGGGACAGAGCGCGGTAAGTGACGGGTAAGTGCGCGCAGCTATGAGCGTAGCAGCCCCGCGTAACGTCCGCTACCGCTAAATTTACCTGCTATCTTGCCGGGGCGCGCGAAACTTCGTTTCGCGATTCAATCGCCTCGCGGTACTTACCGTCAACGAGCGTTAGGCGCGCGGGCGCTGGTTAAGACCTCCCCTAGGTGGATACTCGGCCGGATTTCTTCGCGGCGCGCCCGTAGACCGTAAAATTGACCGAACTTGCCCGGCCGCCGGTGCACGATTCGTTCAATTTACCGCAACGGCCGTAAATGTTTAACTAAACTCGTTCGGCTTCTGCCTTGGCGTGGGACAAGCCGCGGTACAGGCTGCTCCACGGGGCAAAGTCCCTTCCCGAAGCCCATTGGGGCCGCGGAGCATGGCGGGCGCGGGAGGCGCCCTCTGTTTAAATTTTGGGAACGCGCCCTGCTCCCGCTCTTTCTAGAAACTTTGAGAAATTTGGAAAAAATTGCCGTGTCCACGCACAAAAAGTGTAATTAATCGTTTAAAAAAGTAAAGCGGTAATCTTAAAAATACGCATATAACCTAAGAAATTTCGTTTATACTATTTCGTACCCACCTCTAAAAGATTTCGCGGTCCCTGCGAACCTAATCAGCTGGCATTCTCGACTGCGTGCAGGTTTCGAAAAGAATTGCACCGGAGAGAGAAAAGTGTGCGGTTTTATTCTGGCTGTGGTGCCGGCAAATCCACACGCGTCAAAATGTATATAAACTTGCGATGGTAGAGAAGACTCTATCTTCTCGATTCCTCCTTTTCTAGAGGAAAAATGTAGTGGTTATAGGATATTTCATACTAAATACGGAATAAAGTTACGAGTGAAAATACACCGCGGAGAGATAAGAAATTCATTATTTATGTAAATTTCGGCGTTGCGTCGCCCCCTTTTTTTGGCGATAAATCTCCATCGAAATAATCGTTTTCCATTAAAATAACTATTTTTAACAGAATTATCGATAATTTTGCAGTATCAAACTATTCAAGACCCGTAGATCATCATTCCGAAAATATTTACCGTCAGTTTATTTCACCGCTGATATATTTTTCATCAATTTCATCATTCGTTTACCAAATAAACTGGTACACAGCCATTTTGTTAAATTTTATTTGTATTCATTAAAAACTGCAGACTTTTCTTTTCCCAACGTAATTTTTTTCAATAATTGCACGCAATTCGAAAATGACAGCTGACAAGTTTCAGCAGCTTCCCACGCGACACCCATTGCATGCAGAATAAAAGGGAAGAGGCAAGAGTGGATAAGATTAACCATTGTGTACGGATAAATCTTCAAGCGACTCAATGCAAATTGTAAGGAATATTGGGCACTGTTGCTTAAGGAGCACTTGCTCTGCATTGAACTGGGAAAGGGTTGGCGAATATGTTCGAGCAAGGATACGCGCGAAGGTGCGTGTCGAACAGATCGCGTTTCAATATGCCAAGCGCAGCATACACGCGACGGTTAACCACACAATTTATATTAACTAAATTTAATAACAGCGTTTAAAGTGTACAAGTGGTAAATGTGACGATTCTTAAACGTGTATCTACAACAAAACTGCACCCACGTGAGAGAAGGCCCGGTGACGCAATTGGCACCGCTGAATAAACGTACAAAGGAGCACAACGCGGTGATTGTTCTTCGCTCAATGCCGTTTCTCGTATTATCTATCGATCGATTTGTCATTCGGGAAAAACATCACCGCGCCGCCTCCGTTACTCAGTGGCCTCAATTGTTCCACCACACGTCAACAAAAATAAGCTCTGTATAAATAACGTCATAGGATAAAAAAATTGCGTCAGTCGCGTTTGCCAGGGCCGGTGTTTCTTTGCGTCAACCACGCCGGATCGATGGTAGACAGACAGCGAAGGTAACATCTTCCGGTGGCTACGACCTCCGTGAACAGCAGCAACGGCGGCTTCGTACCGTGCAACGCCGAGGAAGGGTGTATGGTTACCGGCTGCTTCGAGTACACCTATGCCGAACGCCGTAATGTGATTACGTGTTATTACGTGACTGTCTTTGCTTGTTTGTCGACGCGGGAAACTCGAGCGAGGTAGAGATGCAAACGGTTAATGGGAATGCAAAGATAAGAACGATTTGAAATTATTTATAATCTCCTACCCCTTAAATCTTTATCATTTAAAGAAAAAAGGTAAATATTATAAGCTTAATGAAAGAGCCAAGACTAATCGTTTTGATCTGCTGATTGAAGTTCGCTGAAATGACGTAAAATAATCAGAATAAAAGGTTCGAGATGTCAATGTGATAAAAAAATACTTGTTTATAAAACTAACATATCGTATTTCATTAAAAAATAATAGCTTAGTCGACGAAAACCCCACAATTTATGTAGATAAATGTTTGAGGGATTTTTACGGTTGCGTTTTCCTTCACAATAAAATTAGCTGGGGAGAGAGAGAATAATATTCCACATAACACTGACTAGCAATAAGAATATAATAATGCAGAAATAACATTGTGGGAGAGAGAACATTTACTTACCGTGACATACGTCTGGTCCCTCTGCAGCTCGGCGAGGTTCTCGTATAATCCCTCGAGGAAAGCTTTTCTGAGTTGCTTCGTATTCGTTCCGCAGCTCGCCTTCTGCAAATTCGCACGTTCCGCCAACGCCGCAAGCTGTTGCCTCACTTCCGACCCGTACTCGAGATTTCGGTGGTGTAAGAAGTTAGCGCGGCACCACTCCTTCTTCTGCGTCTCGTTTTGGTTTCCGTATGCCCGGAACACATTCAACAACGTTACGTGATCCCCCTCGGGCGAAGCAAATCTGAAACCCCACCCGATGAGTTACTCGGATCGCTATTAAATAATAACTTACGCGGCCATCCGCGATGGAAAATTCATTTAGTCGCGGATACGACGCTCCGTAGAAAAAAAATTTGTGTACAGATTTCATCTTGTTCCCATCTTCTCCTACTCGGTGTGTACTTTTAGATAAGTAGATTGCGAACAAGAGCCGTACCGTAAGCGTGCATTGTAGGCCTGTTCCCTCTTCGCGGGTGAGTCCATGAAAATCGATTCTCCCGATAATAAAGCGATAACCGTCAGTGCTTCCTCCAGACACCTGTGCTCCACCGACGCGAGGATCACTTTGGTAAATCGAGGGTCTAACGGGAATAGTGACATCGTTCGGCCGAGCGTAGTCAGCTGCGGTGGAGATCCTTTTAAGAGGGATTATATAAGAATTTATTGTCTCGAAACTCTCCCGTTACTCGTATCTCGCGCGATATTACGAAATAAAGACGCAAATTGCTGCCGATCAATTATTTCCTCTCGTCGCCTCTGAATCTCGATACGAAAAAAAGATATGATATATTGTGCTTTGGTATTAAATGAAGCTTTTTCTTTAAAAATAGCATAAGCAAAAATTAACGAGAAATCTATTAAGCATAACTGTTATATCTAAGTGGAAATTTTATTTTCCTTAAGCGAACAAACGTACCGAAGAAAGTGTCTTCTTCATTTATAAATAAATAGATATTAGTGGCATTTGTTACCTTTAACCGCGCCCAACTTTTCCAAACTGTTCACAGCGACGTCTATACTCTCCTTGGGCGGTTTGTCCATGAAATCGAAGGTGGTGATGTCGACGCCAATGGCGAGCAGTTGCAGAGCGACTCCCGCGAGGGAGCACCTTTGAATTTCTGGTATCGGCATGTACTTCATCTTCTCGAATTCCTCTCGTGTGTAAACTCTATAACACCTACCCGGTGCTTCGCGAGCGGCTCTACCCGCCCTTTGCAACGCCTGTGCCTGTGCGATTTTCTCGACCCTCAATACGTCCAACCCCGTCGTGGGATGATGCGTCCTTGCTTTGACGACACCGGTATCGATCACGTGGCGAATTCCTGTGTTTAATGCCTTATTAAATTTTCAGATTTCAAAACTGTAAGCCCGAAAACCGCGGGCGCTATGTAATTAATGTTCAAATAATCGCGACGTTGGAAAATAACATAATTAATCTCGTGCAGTCGCTTCAGTTGTCACGTCGGAAAAAACTTCATGAAAAAGCTTTTAAAAATAAGCTTCCTTTACAACTTGCCCCATGTTTATAATTATCTAACGTAAAAAAAACCTCGGCGCTGATAAAAATGTTCATTATCCCTTCTATTTTTACTTGGAAAATTAAGTAACAGAAAAGATCGAGACGAGAGATATATATACCGCCAATCGTAACGGACGTCTCGGCGACGTTTGTCGATAGTATTAATTTCCGCATTCCCGGTGGCGAAGGTTTAAAGGCCTCCAACTGCTGGTTGGTGGGCAACGCCGCGTATAAGGGAAAGATCTTCAGGGGCGGATACTCTTGTCCATCCAGTTGTTTAGCTATTTGTCGGGCGGCTACCTTAGCCGCTTCTATTTCTTCTTGACCGGTCAAAAAGATGAGAATATCCTCGCTGGAAAATAAAAGATCCAAAAGTTACACTAAAATATAATTGGAGCGTGTGGTTCTGAGAACGACCGGATCGATAAGGATTCGGACTTAATTTCCCGACCCTCAACGCGTGTGTATCTCGGTTTGTGAGCGATCGATTCGAGGCCTGTTGGCGAAAGGGTGCGCAATAAAATTGCAGCTCACTTCGAGAGCAATAAATTCATTAACATTCTAGAACATGATTTAATCCTATACGCGTCGTTCCTAAAACACACAGTTCACATTCCGCTTCGGAATGTCGCGCTGTTCTTACTTCGCGGGTGCCTCGCGGTGAATTTGAAACGCCGTAGCGAGCGCGGCGAACGCATAATCCTGCTGCGAGGACACCGCGTGAAAAATTCTCACGGGATGCTGACGGCCCTCCAAATACAACGCTGGTGCTTGGAAATACTCCTTGAACTTAGCGGGGTCCATCGTGGCCGACATGATCAAAAGTTTCAAAGGCGGCAGATTCTTCAACTTTCGCAAATTCTGCGCTCGTCTCGCCACCCCGAACAGAACGTCGGTTTGCACGGATCGCTCGTGAGCTTCGTCGAGTATCACCACCTGTTGCAAAGTTATAAAACTCATGCAACAATCGCATTCGGATAAGCAACAAAGGGAAATGTCTAGAGAGAGTCTCTAATTTTCAAGAAGATTATTGTTGATTTTAAATATAATAATATCTTAACGGAAAACTTTTTGTTAAAGCGTCTAATTTGCAAGCACAGGGTATCTGCTCGTTTCTCGAGAAAGAATTTGCTGAGAGAATTCCCTGATTTTTCCAAGGATTTTGGTTAAGACTTGCAGGTAAAATTATTTTAAAATAAATTTAATTATTGTATAAGGTTATTCTTATCACGTTCAGAGTGTGACCCTATTTACACGAGCATAAAGAGAAAATTAAAAGTTATAAAAATGTTGACATAGAAAAACGATTTTCACAAAACAGAATCTCGACTTCTCATTTCGAAGAAGCACGAGGAAATAAAGATGGAACGATGCTTGGAGCATTGGAGTTATTGCTCCCTAAACACATAAGTTTTCACTTTGTTACTAACTTGGCTAACTTTCGATTGCTCATGGAATACAAAATGAACAGAGCAATTTCAACAAACATTTCCTGATAAATTGCTGAGTTTTCAGGCAAAAAAGAATTCTCCGAGAATTGCAGATTTTCCAAGTTTTTCCCGATAGTAGACACCCTGAAGAGTTTAATTAAAAACAGATTGATTCCAGAATCCATACGTTGTATGAAACTATTAAATTATATATAATATCTTTCGCCATGATCCAAGATCATTTAAAGTTCCGTACCGAGTAATCCGACAGGATCTCATCGGTCATCGCCTCTCGCACCATCATGCCATCCGTCATATATTTGATCCTCGTCTGCGACGAAGTGCAATCCTCGAAACGGACGCAGTAGCCCACCAATTTTCCCGGTTTCGCCCCTTGCTCCAGGGCGACCCGGCGCGCTATGCTGACCGCCGCTATCCTGCGCGGTTGCGTGATGCCGATGCAGCCGGACGACCCAGCGATCCCGGCCTGGAGCAACAGCTGTGGGATCTGCGTGGTTTTACCGCTGCCGGTCTCGCCTATTATGATGAGGGTGTTGTGCCGGCGTATCTCTTCTACCAATCTGAAAATCGACGACCGATCACTTGTCTTGAATAAAAATGGTTTAGGAGAGAAAAGTCGTACACGCAATATTAAGTATACATGTAAAGAATGTTAAGCGAAAGTCGAGGGGGAAACCGCTGAGGGCATTGTGGTGTACAGATTTGCGGCATTACTGGGCATTACTAGGGCATTTTTGGGGCATTAGCTCTTGCTGGGGTATTATAAAGATAAAATAAGATAAAACAAGATAAATAAAATAAAGTAATGCCCACTGGGCATTAGTGGGCATTGGTGTACAAGATTTTGATCAGCGGTTTCCCCCTCGGTGAAAGTTTGCCGACTTAATGGGATGATCGTTGAAGATTTAAAATCTAAAAAGTAGACACATTAAATCATCAACTACTGCTGCAATCGGCTGTTGAATAATTAATAGATCCAATTAAAATATTAATTTCTTGTTCTGTTTTATGATTTTATCTTTATATCATTGATCTATACTTAGATCGTGATTGTAATCGTCACATGTTACACATAAGTACACAATTGACGCGTTTATTTCTCATTGAGCGTATTGATCAGACTTTTAATTGTAATGTGTATTGAACGAATTTTTACATTTTTAATTATCGTAAAAGAAATAAAATGAATTACATAACTTCGTTTGCATTTGCACAATACTATTTTATATAATGTATCCCAGCAATACATTTTAAATGGATAACTTATTATTCATCAATAACATGAAATAGGAACATTAAAATATATACATATATGTATGTACAACATAGATAACGTGCGATCATAAACAGCAGAATATTCTGGGTTCTACCAACTTGGTTGGGTCAAGCCGAGGGGGAAACCGCTGACCAAAATCTTGTACATACACTAATGCCCACTAATGCCCAGTGGGCATTACTTTATCTTATTATCTTATTTTATCTTTATAATGCCCCAGCAAGACCTAATGCCCAAAAAATGCCACAGTAATGCCGCAAATCTGTACACCACAATGCCCTCAGCGGTTTCCCCCTCGGGTCAAGCCTTGACCTTATAACTTCAAAAATAATTTATTATCGCGTAAGGATACAATTCGTATGCCAAAATTATGAACGTTCAAATTTTCACTAAATAGTGAAGTAATACAATATTCAAATAAAAAAAATCTCTGAAGTAGAAACTGGAGATCACAGTTTTCACTTCAAATTTGAATTGAACTATTTTGTGAAAATTTGTTCGTGGCATAGACGGTGATATAACATCGGTTTCTTCTAATAAAAATAAAATATTTTTCAGATCACATACATTTTTGGTTCAGCACTTATTTTGTGTACATATAATTACTTAACACTCGCGTAGTTTAATTACTAAATATTATTATAAAATGTTTAGAATATAATATATTTCTAGATAAACAAATTAATCATCGCAGCATATTTTCTACTTATCGACCGCGAGTAAGCGTCGTGCCGAGATGATCCACGGTAGCTAATCGACTATCCGCAGCGAGACTCCATTTTGAAACATCCTGTATATGCGTCGCGTGCACGACGCCGAACCTTCTGGACGTCACCTACCTATTTTCTTTTCTTTTGTCCGCGCACGACGCGAGTAAAAGTTACATCTCGCATTCGCTCGGGGGAAACTCACCGTTTACGGAGCAAATACACGGGCAGTGATTTCCTCCGCAGTTGCAAGCCAACAACGTTCGTCCGATCGTTATTCTTCGTCGGGAAGCACACGACTCTGGTGTTTTCGCTCGTTTTCTGTACCTTGGCGGAATTTTCGTGGAACACCACGGTGTTGGGCCGCTTCATGGCCAACTTGGGCGACTTCTCCATCGCACTGTGCTTGGAATCCGCGTCGTCGTGGACCCTCATCTCGCCGCGGATCGCTAGGAGCCGCCCGGTGAGTGCCGTACCGTGCGCGTATTATTACGTACACGTTTAACGTACCACTTGCGGCACAGTGTCGAGCACGTGTTGCGCGCTACAGCTGTTCCGCACACACTGTCCGCGCGCCCTCTCACCGAGAGGCTCTCAGCGTGTGCGTCGGAGCCCTGGAGTGGGGCACCGTAAAGCCCGTATCAGACTACGGATTGGGATTGAGATTAGATCGAACTTTGGCCAATTAGAGTGAAAGTTACTAAACTTGAGATCAGTAAACTTCACTGCGATTGGTCAAGTTTCAATCTAATCTCAATCTCACAATCCGTAGTCTGATACGGGCTTTACGTAAAATACCATTCTTAGGCCGGTATTCATAGTCCGTTCTTATATTTAAGATCATCTTACTTGATTGATTTTGAAATAAGACTCGACTACCGACCGTAGAAATTTTTTGCGTACCGGACACACGGACGGATGCGTGCGGCGCGGGCGACGAACACTCACGTGTTTCCGGAGAGGTGAGGATCCCGTATATGAAAGTTATATTATACCCGGACAACACACGCAATATTTATAAAACATATATGTACGAAATATTTATAACATTTCAATATTTTGTGAATATTTATCAAAATATTTCATGCATATTTTCGTAATCCTGAATAGATTTGTGATAAAAATTTATCATAAATGTCTGAAAAATGCTTTGAAAATATGCTAAAAATGCTGCAAAATAGATGGCGGTTTCGGTAAAAATTTGAGACATTTTTGCAAAATATTACTACAATGTGCTGTCTGGGTAATAGTAAATATAACTAATATTAACAGAAGAAAACAGTCAATATCGCAATTTCGCAGTGTTTTAAACGATAAATTTTTAATTTATGTAAAAAAGTTTGTTAATGTATAATTAATAAATAAATAAAAATTTTACGTAATATACAAATGCTCCGTTATGAACTTGTATAACGTGTATTTTTATATTTAGATATATTTTAGTTTTTATAAATAAAAAGTAATTAGAGCAATAAATGCGTTTCAAAAAATTACAAATTCCTAATTCTCTCGAGATTCATTAAATCTTGCAATCATTTCTACTTTTAAACATAGAGATATCTTTAAGTTGCCAGTAAAAAATAACAATAAGTAAGTTGAGTCGACATTAACTGGCACGTGTTTGATACAAGAAAATTACAATGCGACGTTTCGACCATGGGTTTAGGTCCTTTTCAAGCACGTTCTGAAAGAAAAAGTCCGATAATCGAGATTACAAAGCTCATCAAAGATACAAATTAAATGAATAAATAATCGTGCGTATAATACAATAATAAAATAAGTAAAAAGAAACAAGATTACAATTAATAAATACAATAAAAGATATGGATTGTCACAGCGGATAATATAACAGATTGAAAATAAATCCTAGACCAGTCAATTATAGAGGAAAAGATCCACTATGCGATTCCAAAAACGAATAGTCTACAGATTATGTTGCCCAGACTAAAAGAGACTAACATCTGGAGACGAGAGTCAAAAAACATTTCAATAATATTAAAAAAGATGAGAGTAACCACTCCGTCATTAGCAAATACCGCACATCGCTCGGGCATGATTTTAATTGGACTTCTCCAAATATTTAATCTGTGAAAAACATACGAGAATGAGAGAAATTGCCGAAATGTTACACATTAAAATTAATTCTAACACCATTAATTCACAAAAAAGATACTGAGAAACTTAATCCTATCATGACTCCATTTGTTGGTTATTTATTTATTTCCCTCTCCTCGACGTTTCACCTAGACGTTTTATCATACTTACACTTCCGACAGTCATTCTCTGGCCTTTGTAGATGGTGTACATACTTTAACTTAGTGCCTGTCAATTTTTATAATTATGGCTTACTTCCTTTGGACTTTTATTACTTGACTTCATTTTACATTGGCCTGATTATTTATTAAGGTAATTGACTAGTGTAGGATTTATTTTCATTCTGTTATATTATCCGCTGTGACAAACCATGTCTTTTATTATAATTATTAATTGTAATCTTGTTTCTTTTTACTTATTTGATTATTGTATTATACACATTTTGATTATTTATTAATTTAATTTGTATCTTTGATGAGCTTCGTAATCTCGATTATCGGATGTTTTCTTTCAAAACGTGCATGGCCGAAACGTTGCATTGTAATTTTCTTTTAAACACGTGCCAATTAAGGTCTACTAAACGTACTTATAGATTTTAATTTTAATAAAAATACGCGATTGATTAACTGAAGTCATATAAAACTTGGTGTCCATCAATTTTTAGCTCGTTCAACTGAATTCACATTTCTCGCTTTCTTTTCCATTGATTTATTCAATATGCCTGCAATTAATGAGAAAACTCCTAAAAATGTAAATGAACTTAATTTTACGTTTATATGTTTTTATTATTATCAATCGCACTGGCGATCGAAAGAGCGACCCAAGGTGTTTGATAATACCTCGAATGTTTTTTATCGCACAAAAGTATAAGAGTTAAAAAAAAACGGGGTTCGTGCGCACTCGGATTATCTGTCCTCTCTGACTAATGCTGTTAAATTTTACCAATTTTACGTTTTATCGTGCCGCGCAATAGTAATATATTCATATCTCGACGTTGTTCGGAACTGGTCACGAGAGTTTTATCGACAAAGAGCGCGAAGAACGTCGCATATATTTAAACGTACGAGACAAAAAGTGAGTTAACGGTAGTTTGTTTTTATACAATTCATTATTTCGTTGAAACGATTTTGGCAAAAACTCAAACAGCGGTCAGAGATCGAACATTTATTATAATATTACATTAATATATATATATATATATTTATATATATAAAACACGTCAAATATCTTATGAACAAGTAACTTTGCAACGCTCATATATGTATATATGTATACCTTTTAAATTAGAGGTAGAGAGAATGATTGACGCTCCACCATCATTGATAAAAGATATACTTATGTCATAGTCATAAATTATTAAAAGTTTCATTATCACGCGTAATGTATTTGATCGAGACTGTTAAAGAAAAACCGCCAATGCTACCAGCTGTTAAAAAGTAAAGCTCGAACAGTATGCGTTATGAAATTATCACAGATCAAGCTGTGTGTAATAGGAAGACACAATGAGCCAATATTTTGACGAGATTTCAAAGTATTTTTACCTATTTTTGTATCATAAATTTGCAGCTAAAGTATCATCGTAGTGGTCGATGAATCGGCGTGATCGCATGTGGTGGTACCTGGAATTTGAAAAACGTGCGTTATAAATTAATTACGATTTGATATTCTTAGACGCTTTTATTTCTGTTTCATTACCCACCTCGGTCTGTCGCTTCATGTTATATATAGAACAAGTAAAAATGTGTAACTTGAACACGGAATCGACTTACCATTGCACCAATGCGAGACAAGTAACGATTTCGTATACTGATGTCAGATTGTGGCTGCATAAGACTATCGGCTGAAAAATCTGACGTGCATTCCGATGACAGCAATTTTTCTCGCTCCAAACTCTCAGGCGTGCATTGAACTGCCTCGTATCGTTCTCTTTGTCCTGGAGTCATGTTGAGATAACCACCGCTTGTTGCCATGTCGGACACCCAGATTGCACCGGCGGTTATCAGTGAAACTGTGAAATATGTTGTTTGTAAGAAAATTTCGCGTTCCTACGTGGAAATCATATCTCGAGTTTCCAAGTTCGCGAAAATACTCACTCCAGAGCCAACCGAGGAAGAACATCTCGAGCATTAAATATCCTCCTTTGTCGACGATTATGCCGGCCACAATTGCGACTACAGCGAGACCTAAGTTTTGTACAGACTGCGCTCTAAAAAGGAAAGATTGTATTAATTTTATTTTCTAGCGCGCCTTAGGGCATTATTTTACTCTGAGATCTCAAGTAGATTAATATTTACATTCCATAAGCGGTTCCAAGTTGATGCTCCGGCGTTACAAGAGCAATCAGAGGCCACAAGCTACTAGCGAGCATAGAATACGCCAGTCCCATGAGAATCATACACGCATACGGATTCAGATAGGTAAAAGCGAGTAGTCCGTGAGCAACGATAGTAACGCAGATACTGATGAACACCCACGATACGTTTTTGCCAGTTCTATCCACTATGTAGCCTAACAGAGGCGAAGCTATCGCCGATATCGAATAAACGAGTGAATTTACTGTATTTGCGGCAGATGGGTCATATTCGTACTTCCGCTCGAAAAATACCCTGAAACAAAACGAGACCATTTTTCGTACGTGTAAAACTAGATAAGACAATGTTAATTTTTACGATCAATTTTAAAGCAGTACCATTCTTGCACAGACTTTAACTGGTGCAACTGGAAAATGCAATAAGTTTTTTATGCTGTCGGGCACTTACTTTCCCAGAGCAATGAAGGGGAATATCGCGACGTAGTAAGCAATGCAAATGATTGCGACCAGCCAGAAGATTGGCTTGAAGTCCTTAACATCTTTTAGGCTGACGACCTGCGGCTCCTGTCCCTCCCCTCGTCGGAGCAGTCTCTCCGCCCGCTTATCCATGAAGCCCAACACACAGGCGCATATCATCGACATTACGCAGGTGACGGCTGCGAGAAAGAGAACTATACCGATGCACTTCGGGCCCTTGTAATATTGAGACACGTAATTGTATACTGGCTCCATTACTAGGAAGTTTACGGTCGATCCTACTCGGGCGAAGCTCAACTGCAGTCCGAACACCATGTTCAACTCTTTGCCCTTGAACCAAAGGACCGCGTAACTGTTCTGCGCGACTGCCAACGATTCCGCGCCGATTCTGTAGGAAAGAAAAGCGCTTGTTAGTTTCACGGCTTTCCAGGAGGACATGCAAGTTTTAAAACACTCCGCATTGACCTAGCAATAACAACGTACCCGAAGACAAATCGGCCGAGCATCATCAGCCAAAAAGCGTCGATCATAGCACCACTTGCAAAAATGATCTGACCGATCAACGTGAGCCCCATGTATATCACCGTGCCCAGCCGAATCCCGAAGACGCTGTCCAGCAGGAAGCCGCCGATGAAGCAGAGAATGACGTTCGGCCAGGAATATATAGAGTACAGCAGGACAAACCTGCTAGTCGACATGTTCAAATCAGTTTTAAAATTGTCTTGCAGCGCTCCGGGGTTGTCGAAGCAGAAATACGAGCCTGAAACAAAACGGGCGTACATTGAAATTTCTGCGGTGAAACGACGGGACATTTTTTTTCGCGAGGCTTGGGCGCTCCTCATTTCGGTCGGATAAATCGGAATGTTATTTGCTGGCAGCTTCGCGGTCTGATAAACGAAGATATCGCGCGTGCGTGACTCGATTGTGTCATAGGTTCTAACGTCGCTTATACAACATATGGCCAATATTTATAAAGAAAAGCCGCGCGATAAGCCGCACAAAGAGAGCGTTCATGATACGCCTTATCTAAATGTCAAATTTTTCCCTGATTAATAGCATGGAGACGTTCGCAATTTCCATTACAACCCGACTGATTGTACCCTTTTTGCCGTTGGTGCCTCTCTGTGTAAGGCCCGGGCTTCACCAATGCCGCTTAACTTTAAGCTCAGCTTAATTCGTTCTTTATCACTTTCCAACTGTTACTCTACACTGTAAAAAAATTACAAGTAAAATTACATTACATCGGGTAATATTGGGACCATCTATTAAAGGTATACATTTACGTACATCAGTAAATTTTCACCTTACAGGTAAAATTATTACCTTACATAATAAGTAAACTGCTCTTAATTGTGCAACTTTTACAATTTTTTTGTAATTTTCCATCACGCATAAACAAGTATTTACGCAATAAAGAGTAAAAAAATTCTTTCGTAAAAGAGTACATAAACTTATATTATATATTTCCGTTATCAATAGTGTAATCGCTACACTTATTACGTATGTAATTTTACATACTTTTTTTACAGTGTAAAAAGAGGCAAACGCGAATTGAAGCAAGATTAGAGTTAAGCGACGTTTGGTCGCTCGGTGATTTTAATCTTGGTTTAATTAACGCTTGTCTCTTTCCGAAGTAAAGGCTAATCTACGTGTCCTTTTGCGTCTCGAAACATTCTATTTCCTAGCCAATAAATACGCTTACAAAATTTGGGCAAGCTGATAAATTGTGCATTGTACATTGTACAATCGTAAATTGTCGACAAGTCTGTTAAGCGTTTTGATTTGTTTACATAAAATAGAATGTTTCTAGATGCAGAAAGCACATTGTAGATCAGGCCTAACAGTTGGGAAGAGACAAAGAGCGAATTAAGCCGAGTTTAAAGTTAGGCGACGTTGGTGAAACCTTAGACTTTGGCTGTAGAGTCACGGCTGGGGAAAAAGACATCGCGTTTTAAAAACGTGGACGGATCGCGGCTCGGTCAAACGTCAGGGACTCTAAATATCGACGCGAGCTTTGCACGGCGCGAGATCTCACGCTATTGCACTCGGTACGGAAAGGTGTTAATTGGCATTGAAACAAACGGGACTCGAGAAACCGGGGTGGCTTCGGGGCGGAGTACACTTTCTACGAAACGGGGATCGCGGAAGCGGCGGACGTGTGACAATGGATCCGGCGAGAAAGCGGCGGAGCTGCAGTGCGCTACGCGTTCCGCTCTTCTGACAGTGACACCATTCCGGCGGCGGCGATAACAAACAACGGACAGTAAACAAGGTGAGCGCCGTTGGTAAACAACGGCCGCGAAAAACGTCAACGTCATCAGTCAACGCGTACCGAATCCGAGCAGGCACATGAGCGCCAGGCCGAGAAATCGGTAGGGCGCCTTCTTCGGGCTGCAGCATCCTTCAAGGGCCGCCTCGTCCTCGGAGCGGTCCAGATTGTCGCCGCCCGTGCTCTCCACCGCGCCTCCCTCCATGCCGTCGTTGTCGCGACGCTCTTCTCCTTGTCCGCGGATCCGCTTTGTCGCGTCTTGACAGCGTTCGAGCAGCGCAAGGTGCCCGAGAGAGAGAGAGGGAGTCCAGTGATCAATTTGCGTAACGCGCGTCTCCGTGTTTCACTCTCCCTCTTTCACGTCATCACGCGGGCGAACGACAAGAGGATCGGCGATCGATGAAGCGAACGCCGATCGACTACTCCGACTGCGTCGCGCGGCCGCCGAGCGTTGTCATTGTTGATCGGTTAATCTGTCACTTGGGCGGTGCGCGTGGCGTCCGGGTACTCGGGTTATGCGTCATTCGGCGCGGAGATACACACGCACAATCGGCACGCGAGCGAGACGCGAGACGCGCGCGAGCCTGGATCCCTCTCTTTCTCACACGCAGAAAAGTCCCTACGGGCTCCGAGTGTACCAACCAGAAGGAAGCGAACTAACTAAAGTTCGTTATTTGTAACTGGATCTTGAATTCATTCAATTCATTCCAAGAAGAAACGTATACGAAAATTCTGCTCCGGCAGAAAAGTTCAAAGTCGATTGGTTAGCCAATAGCCAATCAGCTTGCAACTTTTCTGTAAGAGCAGAATTTTCCCATACGTTTCTCCTTCGAATAAATTCAAGAATCGAGCCCCAGGCCCGATTTCACACCACAAACGTCGCTTGACTTTAATCTTGGTTTAATTTCCTGTCTGTCTCCTTCTGGACCAACAATTGAAAAGAGACAAAGAACGAATTGAGCTGAACTCAAAGTTAAGCGACGTTGGTGAAACCGGGCCTTGTTACCTTTGTATTCTCTTCTTTCCGACGAAGACACGCGTTTTTTATTCGTGCGCAGAAAATATAACGTGGCGCAGTTACAAAATTCTGAGATTATAATTCCTTAAAAAAGAAAGAAAAATAGGGATCGCTGGAAAATTATTGAGGGTCGTACGTTTACAATTGGAATAAATAACGCTATAAAACGGGTTCCTATAAAGATCGCTTTTTTACGTCTCTTTGAAATTCCATAGTAAATAAATTTTTACAAATGAACATAAACGGTGGACCAATATCTACACGAGCGATATAGGACGAAAACTAAGAATTAAATATATATTTAGAGTAACTTCATGGCGAACGTTTCGGTGTCGCGGCACCTAACATACCGATTTAATTTAAATTTTTACACCAATGCGAATAGAATTATTAAGTTTGCATAAATCAAACAAGCGAGAGCGCCTTTAGGTCCGAGCAAGATGTTGGCAGTCCAATAATTGTAACCCAACGTGTGAATTCACATACACCTTTTTCCACCTTGTCCTGCGCGCCGGTTTCTTTTCGGACACAACAGTTTCATTTATTGTTAGATGGTATCATTGTCGTTAGTGAATTCACATATTACAAACGATTTCTAATTATTTTTAAATGCTATATTTACCACTCAATACCCCCCCCCCCTCCCGTACTGTAGATTCTTATTGCGAAACATATTACCTCAGTCAGGATTCAAACCTGGCACCTCCCTCAATCCATGTCTTAACCGACTCGACTATATGAATTCAAATTTTAGATTACAATCATTGGGCTACAAACATCTTGCTCGGACCTAAAGGCGCCCTCGCTTGTTTGATTTATATCATAATGGTCCTATTTTGAACTTATTTAATCTGATCTCTGACCGCGACTGAATCAATCAGTAGTGTGACACGCGCGCTCCTAGATATAAAATTTGTATTTAAAGACGAGCGAGAAGGCGGTCGCCGGAGCAACGCGAGAAACCAGATCTTTATACATTTATTGTAAAAAGGTAACTTATGAGTTTACATGAGACCGAGGGACTTAAAACTAGTTAAACTTCGAATGTTCAATGAATAATTACATGATAAGAAAAGATGTGGATGGTATCACCAGCTTTCTTTCGATCATTTTACTTTACTTAACTTATGAGCGAATCAACTAATCGTAAGCTTAACCGGTGACTTCTTCGGTCGCGCCTTCCTCAAACTCGAGCTTCACTTGACACTCCTCGGGCAGTCCCTCAACGTCCACCTCCGTCTCGGGCGCGTTCAGCATGTTCAGCGTCACCTCCGCCGATTTTCCCATCAGACTCTGGTTCGCCGACGTCGATTGCTGCTTCGCGACCTGCTGCTGCTGTTGCTGCTGCTGCTGCTGCTGCACCAGCGTCGTCTGCTGCGCCTGCTGAGGTAGAATTTGTTGCTGCCTGACCGTCATCCCCGCCTCCTCAAACGCCTTCTTCTTCAGGGTGGTTCGTATCTGAGAGCTGGAAAAGAAAGCGATACGTTCGGTGTGAGATTCGGACTGACTGCCACAGCGGCAGTCTGTGAACACTTACACCGTCCGACTCTTGATGTGCTCGCTTATTCTGCTCAACTCTTCGCTGAAGACTCTGACCGACTGACGGAGCATCTCAATGTCCTCGTCAGCCCATTTACTACGCATCGAGGGGGATAGGGAATTAAGAAAAGAGCGTGGGGCCCGCTACAATTTTATACAGGACGCTACTCCAGTGGTATACATACGTTCCAAACTAGTTGGAAACAAGTTAACTTTTTGCGACAAATATATTACCAGAGAACCATCCTATATAGACATTGCCGTAATAATGAAAACTGTAATTTTGTTTTCCGTGCAGTTCCGTCAGAATTGTACAATACTTTTCAGATATCTTTAAGACTACCTCCGGTTTTACTCCCCAAACGTGTCTCAAGATATGTATTGCGGATAATATTTCTAACTTACCCTGCTAGGGAATCTGACGTAGGATGCAGCTGCATCGTTAGCTCGCCCAGCTTGTTGAAGGCCACTCCAGCTGCAGCGAAGATCTCGCCCACCTAAACATGAATGACGTTTTGATTCTGGCGATTGTTAGGGCCTGAGCAGAACGGCTGTCCTGCAGTCTTAAGACAACGCTTTGTTTTAAATCTTTATCTTAAAGTAACGCACACTGTTTGGCGACTTAAGAATACAAGACAGCCATCCTGCTCAGGCCCTTATGTCCCTTACGCCCGGTCTACAATGAGTTGTTAGTCGTTAGTCAGAAGTCGGAACTATATGTCGGTCCTTTTTCTTCCACCCAGAAAGGAAAAGGATCAACATATAGTTGCGACTTCTGACTAACGACTAACGACTCATTGTAGACCGGGCCTTAATATTACGTTGAATCAAAATTCCTTTCACTATCAGTTTAACCTAAAAACATAAAAACACTCTTCTTTTACTCGACGTTAGCTTGGGCTTTTCTTTATCCGTCGACACTGCACAGAACTCGCCGAGCAATGGCAGCTTAATACGACAGAGTTTCTTGAAATTTCCAGTTTTCACCCTCACCTTGCTCGCAGAATTCATATTTGTATCGTTGCTGTTGTTATACTCGATTACGACCGTAACAGGGGTCGCGATAGGGGCGCCGATAGGCGTACGTTGTTGGCACTATCTCGAAGATTTCTGTCAGTAAACTAAAATAATGCTGATAACTTACCTACCATTGGTAAAGTTCGTAGTAACTTTACCAACCAACAATATAATTACAAAAATTTCTTTGTACCCGGTGAACACCGAGCATCAGCTTGCACTCAACAATACATATAAATGTAATAATATAACCAGGGTTGGTAGCGTCTAGTGAAAAAGATAAAAGTTAAGTTAAAAAGTTAAATAAATTAATTAATTAATCAGTTACATTATAGTCTGTTAACTTTTTACTGAATTTAGTTGTATTTTAGCGGTAACTTTTAACTTTAAATTTACCTTTCTTATAAAGTTAGCCATGCTATAAACAAAGGCAATTACAAGACGCCGCGCGTCTACCTACATTGGCAGTTTTTGTGTTCCAAAGATCACTGCCAGAGCCAAAAATCTACAGTATGCGTTATGTGCACTGTAGATCTTCAGCGCTGACAATAAATTTTGGAACACAGCCGTTGTTTGGGGTTTTGATTCTCGAAATCGCGTGAAATTGTTCACATATGTAACGGGCCATATTCCGTGTAGGTGATTGATTGTCTAAACGCTGGTCGTGAAATTTAACGCAACTTAATTTTACGTGATCGCGAGTCAAATTCAACTTTTAACTTTTTAATTTCTTTCTATTATTAACTTAACTTTTAATTCAATTAATTTTATTATGGATTAACGTGTATTTTAACTAAGTTAAATTTTCAAGGCTGTTAACTTTAACTTAACTTACTTTAAAAAAAAGATAATTTACCCAACCCTGAATATATTATAACACTGTATGTTGAGTGAGAAATTGTAACATAAATGCAATGTAACTGATAATTCATATACATATTTTGTCGACAAAGTGTTAATTTCCAAAAATCGATAATAATGTATAAAAAACACTAATTAAAATTGTAAGAATATATAACGGAATTGACGAATTCTTATAATTTTAAATTGCTAAAGATTCAAACTGCGACAATGCGAATGTTCCAGAATACACAAAGTATCGAGGGAATACATAATCACGCAGAAGGGTTATTATTAGTCAAACTTATTACAAGTTAAACATTTTCAGTTTGCATACAAATTCGAATTTATGAAAATTTAATTGCTCCAACAAAGAACGCCAGGAAGGATGCGATCAGCTAAAATGTGGCGCACGTAAAAAATCCATGCACTGGCATTTGAAAAGCTTTATTATAAATTTCCTGTCGTTATCTATGCCAGGATGAGCAAAATTATTACCGCTACGTCACACACTCGCGGTTACGATGTATAAACAATATTTAGAAAATTATGCGCATGCAGTTGCTACCATTTATGATCTGAATGCACATAATCGCGCGTGTTTGCTGATCTTTTACGACTCCCGTTTCCGTTCGTAAATCAGGAGCATGCGTCCCCACTCGTTGGTCGCGGTAACGGTGACTTTTCGAAAGTCGCACAGCCTCCTCAAAATATCCTCAATGTGCCTCATCGGATCGGTGTACTTGAGCTCCCTCAACAGCGGAAAGTCCCCCAGGTTCGCCCTTCGCAGTCTTCTCGAGGCGTTTCTGTAGCATCTCCAAGGCTGCGGCTCGACGACGATCATTTCCGCCAGCTCGCAGGCCCTTCGCAGAAACGCCTCCAGACCGTCGTCGCCGTGATTCAGGTGAATCCACATGGTGATCGAGAAGCAGAACACCACGTCGAATCGCGTTTTATTAAGCTGCGCCAGATATCGCCTCAGCGTCTCGCCGCAGTCCTCGGACAAAAAGTCCAGACACTCGAAGGTCACGCGATCCGGCCGCGGATTGCGCTCGCGCGCTTTCTCGATCAGGATCGGGTCGAGATCTACGCCGATTAAGGAGACTTCGGGCTGATCTTGCGACACGGCCTCCTCGAGGAAGTCGCGCAGAGCGTACGTGAGATCCTGCAAAACGCATCGTACAGAGAGTCCAGCGAAGAATTAAATATAAATAAATGTAAATAAGATTTGGATATGCTTTTGGACAGGGTCTTAATCTCAATTTGTGAAATTTGCTTGAAATAAAAATAAGCCGAAAACATAGAAACAAGGAAATTGACACTAAACGTTTAAACAACGCACTGAAAAAATATCAAGTCGCTAATTTATCATAATTAAACATATCTAAATCTCCTAATTTGAATTCAGAATATTGGAAATAGAATAATCGAATTAGCTACACGTCGTGTCTTCTTGATACGAGTTCCGCTTCGTGTTACCCGAGCTAATTGTAAGAGGGAATCTCCAGCTAACAGAGGAAACTCGGCAGTTGCGAGGCGTTCCGTGTAATTAAAAAAAAATGTATTAGCTCCAATAAAGAGTAACAGGATGGGCGAAACGAGCAGGAAATTTCTAACAAGGACAAAGGATGCAAATTCCGGAAGCGGAAATGCCTGCTGCGTGAGCGAAAAGCCGAATGGGGATAAGTCGACCAAAATTAGACGCGCCGCGCCGCGCCGCGCCGGCTTGTACTTTCCAGATCACGAAGGCCGGGCCGAGTCATCCCGTTTCGGCTGGCCCGCAAGTCCCCGACAGATGTGCCGCCGCTGATCTTACCCCGGCGTTACAGCCGACGTCTAGACCCGCGTATTTCCGGACCGGATGGGCGACCCGTTGCCGCTGCCACACGCCACGCGGAAGTTGCCGCACGCGCTCTTCCGCAGCGTGGAATTGGTAATAATTCATGAAGTTCCCGTGTCTGATAGCGCCCGGATCCGTTTTCTCGCTCCCCTCGCCGGCACCGCCCTCGCTCATCCTGCTTTTTCGGAAAGATCTGTAAACGCACAACAAACGGGATCATTGCTGTGCGCGGATGTGCGCAGACGGGCAGGAATGCCTAGATATTTCTATATAATGTATTCTATAATTGTAGAAATGTCCAGGCACTCTTGCCTGTCTACGATACGGATGGTATCTACGAGTAAACGTATCTACGAGCATGCACGAGGAAAGAATTTTTTTTAATTTATCCTGAAAATCGTGTAATCGTGGGACAACATGACACTTCGAAGAATTTTGTACATTTTTTTTTAATTTACCATACATCCCTAGTGGCACAGTGCATTGACCAAATGTTGGTTAAAAATTGGCCCAATATTTGGTTGTATTGAGCCAATGTTCAGCCAGTGCACTGTGCCACTAGGGATTTTACTAGTAGAGGAAAGTTCTCTATTATGAGATAGGTTTCTAATATAAGATAGCAGGTTCTCAACACCCAAATTCAATCATACAATTTTTCTTCGCAACGATTACACGATCTAACAATGAGTTTTCCACTAAACAGATTTCACTTCAAAGACAATAAATTCATGGTGGAATCAACTGATGATGCATATTAATTTAACAGAAGCCGCGCTATCCCATATTAGGATCCTGTCTTATAATAGGGAACTTTCCTCTACTTATACCTACAATATATTTTATTAGTAGAATGTATGGTAACATTTCAAAACACTCTCATAAAGTTCTTCAAAATGCCATGTCGTCCCACGATTACATGATTTGTAGGGTAAATTTTAAGAGAGAATTCTCCCCCGACTCATATTTTTGCGCGTTTTCGTTTCACGCGGTTTTTCATTGCGAAAAAATTTTCGTAATTCTCGTGTACATATAGACACAGACCTTAATTGCAATTCCTAATAATGAATTACTGAAGTGGTTTCAGTCGGACTCGCCCAATTTATGTTAAAAAAAGCGAGTAATAGAGTACAATTTTCAATCATCGCTACAGTTCTATATCATATTTCAGCCGTTCGATTGCCACGTTGTTCGTCCAACCCTAATCTCTTCAAGCCCGTTGTCAATCATATAAATAGCTTTCAATATAAAGCAGATGCCCACTTTAACACATTTATTCCAAATAACGCGATGTCTCCTTACGCGAAACGTAGTGGAATATGTTACTGAATAGATCAGTTTATATATAACGCATACATTCATGAATATATATTTCTTATATTACTAACACACGCATTTTATGATTGAAGAATTGCAATTGTCACGCCGGTGGCAATTCTATTTCTGCACGCGCGGGATGGAGGGGGACTGAAATGCTTCAAGACAAATCCCCGATTTCGAAAACTGAGTATTCGGTTTCATACGAAATGGATTACTCAACTCAGTTCCATTTCTCAATTCGGTGTGCGACAGAGAGTATAGTATACAATGTTGCGTGTAATATTGCAATAGTATGTATACGATGACGGTGACAACACAATGACGACACTAACGAGCGGTGGAGAGGCAGAAAGAGTATTAGAGGGAGAACGGGGGAACAAAGAGGGAGAATAATGGCCGCGGGAGAAGGTCAGGGGGATCTACCAAGAGCGGAAGGACCGGACGGTTAATCGTTAGTGTCCGCGACCCAAATAATTGTAGCCTTCGATCGCCAGACGATGGAGCGTGAAAAATGAGCGATAAATTATTTTCGCTGCGAATAATCCGGCTGTCATTGATGATTAAAAGGTAACGAAGAAAGAAAAAAATCACTGCCATTGCCAGTTGATTGTGGAATTATCGAAGAAATTCCTCGAGTTGAACGAGCGAGGTATTGCAAGGCATCGAAGATTATACAACACAAGTCGAAACGCTCATCAATATTCAGTGTCAAAAGTCGGGAGCTTCGGTGGGAGAAGCTTCTGTAGAAGCAAGCGTTCTATATGGAAGTAATAAAGGTTTAACGCGTTAGACAACCGTGGATAATTAAGACTTTTTGCGCGGAGACCAATTTTATGTGTCAAGGCCGATGGAACGCCGTAGGTCGCTTAATTGTAGTACACTGAGAAAAATGTCCGATTAAATATAATCGGATAATCCAATTACATGATAACAAACGGATATATCCGATTAAATTGTATATCCGATGAAAAATGTGATCGGTTTTTCAATCAAATTTCATCGGTAATTGCATTTCATCGGATATATCCATAATTTAATCGGAAAAATTAACCATCGGACACACTATTTAATTGGTTTATCCGATGAAAAATTTTCTCAGTGTACGTGAAATAAATTACGGAGAATATCTCGCGCGTCGACTCTCTTTCACAAAGTCGACAAACGGCCTTCTACTTTTCCATAAGGAAAATGTCTAAAAACAGCTCGCACCCTCGTCAGTTGTATTGTCCTCTTTATTTACCCTCGAACCTGTCTGCATTTTTCAAATTACAAGGAGAAGAACGGCTCGTTCGCTCGAGTTTCCCGTCCGGAAAATTTCGAATAGTTTTACGAGAGTCACGTGGGAAATAACGACGTACGGCACCCTGGGTTTCGTCGAAAAGGTCCAGGGAACAATGCGTATCCTGCGCGCGGCGCGGCGGGCGGTCCTTCGATTTCTTATTGCGTTCTCATTGCCAAATCCTTCCGCGGCGTGTGTACGGCGTGCCACGGGATTGCCAAATCCGGCACGTAAGATCACGAGGGCGCGGTAAACGCGCGCGACCGGCGTTAACGCGCTCGTAATCGTTATTACCTAATTGCCGCGCGCGGCTCCGACGAGAATTTTTCTTGGATCCGAGAAGGCTGCTCGGACCTCGAGCTCTTTCGCCCCCTTTTCAATACCGTGAGAACCGCGGCCGACGCCCTCGTTGCTCCACGCGACACTCCCCCCCGGATTCGCGAGGAAATTGCACGCTCTTGCGTAACCGCTTCGTCGACGTTAGTCGTAATCGTCAGAGTTATGCGCCGGGGAAAGATCGTGACGCTTTGCCTAATTAGCACGCTCGATTACGGTACGGTGGTAATTAGCCCGGTAATTCCGAACTTGCGATTCAACGCCGGGGTTTCTTGCGCGCGAGACAATGAGCGTCCCTATCGCCGATTGCGGCAAATATTCAAAGTTACCTTAAAGTGAAAAAAAATTTTATCTTACACTGAGAAAAAATGTCCGATTAAATATAATCGGATAATCCAATTACATAATAGCAAATGGATATATCCGATTAAATTGTATATCCGATGAAAAATGTGGTTGGTTTTTCAATCAAGTTTCATCGGTGGCTGCATTTCATGTTCGGACGTATCCATAATCTAATCGGAAAAATTAACCATCGGAAACACTATTGGTTTATCCCATGGAAATCTTTCTCAGTACGTGTGGAACACAGCATTGCGTGCGCTCTTTTTTTTCCTCACTCTATGTATATCAACTACTAATAGATATTATCAACTTTTTTCTAGCCTATTTTATTTGTACACAATTTATTTTTACTTCACGTCAATACATTCAACGTACATAAATATTTTGTTTACTACATAATGTAGATCTAATGTAATTTCTATGTATAAAGATCCATTATATAAAGTTTTTTAATACCACTCGCCGATACAATGCGCAACAACGGAGTTATCTACGTCGTAAACTACACTGAACTGCAAAATACAAATCTACGATATATGATTATTATAGAATAATAATTTAAAATCGAAATTATTCCAATAAATATATATTTCATATATTCTTTAAATAGATATTTAATAAAATAATTATAAAGTACTCGAAAAAAATCTCCTTTTAAATATAAACCCACGAGATTTCAGCGTATATTTTTCTTATTTAAATCATTTGAATAAATAAGACAGCGAGTAGATATTAATTTTGCAAGTAGCAAATAATATATGTAAATTAAAACACTCACCCCACGGTTGGTTCCGTCGTTGCCCGATGCCTCTCAGGCCTCCTCCTCCTCCTCTCCGATCTCCTTGTTGCACTCACACAATATTCACTCGCGAGAACGATTAGCTACGATCGCACGAAATTTCGTGTGACACTCCCGTACGCGACGTGAAATACCGCGAAACGCACCAAGTGTTATTCGTGTGTCGTATGACTTTTCGTCACGCAAATCATTCAAACTGGCAACTCGCGTGATATTTTGCATTCTCGATTCGAAAGTAGCGACGAATAGGTCATTTCTAAATAGGTCACTAAATTTACGATATAAAATGCGATGCGTCGGAATCAAAACGTCTGCGGTAAAGAAGTTGTTATTAATCCGCGGCGAAACGATACTTCACAATTTGAATTGTCGAACAATCTAATCCTTACGCGAAATTAATTTGTAAAACAAAGTATAACAGAACGAAATACAGCAGACAACGCAAGTACTAAAGCCGCACACCAACAAATGTCTCTATCGTTCTTCGAAACTGAAAGACAGATTACACTGAAATCGACAGATAATTCAAAGCGCGATGCGTAAACAAGATGTATTCACGATATGAAGTACCACGATTTACATTGATATTTTATTTGATAAGTTAGTCTCGTGAAATATCTATGTACGTTGATAAAAAGCCGACGTCTCAACATGCAATTCGTTTCTCATTACAAGTTGTAGAAACTTAATAATTAATCGATGAACGTTACTTGTTACTGATAAAGGTGTACAAATTGATAGAGTTTTATTTCCATACTGATCGCAATCGCGTTTCGGAAATTGCTAACGTAAAGGTAATACGACGCACGGAGCGACTCTCGACGCTGCCTGCCGGCTCGAGGTTCGGCGAGCGAATGATAGCGCGGCGGCCTCCGCGTAAACAATGACCTGCGTAACATCGCACGATATCGCGCGGGAATCAAAACAAAGGCGAACGTTGAGAATTCGTTATCCCGTCTGCGAAATATGAAATAAATATATATTAAAATTAAATTCTACGCCTAATATTCTTTTTGTCTCTCTCAAATTACTATGTTCAGCGATTGTTACTATACATTTTGCATATCGTTCTGTGGAAGAGGCCACAATACTTCGAGACTTTCAAGTATCGACTTAA